CACACACACACACACACACACACAGGTATGATTGCCACAGAGTGTGATTGTAAACATTTTTTATTGTTATTTGATGTTCACTCTTCACTCCTGTTGATTTTTGCATATTGCTGTTGGCTTTATTTACATATTATTTAATTTCTTCTATATTCTAAAGTTAATTATTGTTTTTTTACACTTTAATAACTACCGTTAAATCAACAATATGTAACTACATTCTGACTCTAAGTCTTGTCCTTTAGGTGTGTCTTGTGTGGCATTTTTCTGTAAAATTTCAAAATGCATCAAAAACTACAAAAAAAATCTACTGTTTGAAGGAATATTTATTTTTAATGTCTTTTCTAATGCTTATATATACATAAATTCACAAAATGTATCACAAAAGTTGTGATAAGAGCAGTTGGTCACATCCAGTAAAATGAATGGCTCTCTATGGCCCTCTGCTGGTCAAAACAATTTATTTCCTAAACTGTAATAATTTTAGGTTTATCTCTAACCAACAGATGGCAGAATTCTTCACCTAACAGCTAGATCAATATCCAGAAACAACTTAAATTAAATTTAGATCATCATTTAAGTGATTCTTTCATTAAAATTTAATATTTCACATGCAAGCTTATGGTGTAGTTGCGGAATTCTGTGGTAAATAGGAACAAAAGTACTTAATATCTCCCAAAACACAGCATTAATGCATAGATGAGAAGTAAACAAAAAAATTATATATTATTTGTATGATTAAAAATGTATACATTTTTTACAATTACTCTTTCAATTTTGGGGTCATATTGACCCCAAAGACCATAAGTGTAAACATTAAATGAGGACCATTTGAGGGTTAATAGTAATGACTTTATGAGTTTCTTCAATTATAAAATAGATAACATCAGAAATACAATAACAAATGTAGATTCTACAGCATCTAATACTTCAGCTTCATTCATCGCACCAAAAGATAAACTGCAGTGCTTTGCAGCTATAGGACAGGAAGAGCTAAATAAACTTATCACTGCATCTAAACCAACAACATGCCTGTTAGATCCTGTACCCACTAAATTACTGAAAGAGTTGTTACCTGTAGCAGAAGAACCGCTTCTCAATATTAACTCGTTGTTGTCTTTAGGTCACGTCCCATTCAAGCTGGCGGTTATTAAGCCTCTTATTAAAAACCACAACTAGATCCTAGTGAACTGGCAAATTACAGACTCATTTAAAATCTTCCGTTTGTCTAAAATTTTAGAAAAAGTTGTGTCTGCTCAATTGTGCTCCTTCCAGCAAAAAAATGTTCCATATCAGTTACAAAATATTATTTCTTACCTATAAGGCCCTTCATGGGTTAGCTCCTGCTTACCTAACTAGTCTTCTACCATGCTACAATCCATCACGCTCCCTAAGGTCGCAAAACTCTGGACTTTTGGTAGTACGATTGAATTTGATCTTTTATCTCTTATATCTGATTTGGCATTACCCTTAACTTTACAACCAATAATCAAGTAAGCTGAGCAGAGATTATCACATATCTGAATATTGTGATATGATCTGCAATGACTAATGTGGAAATCATTTCTTTCATATGAGGCTGTGTTTAATAGAATGATGTAAGTACTTTAAGAAGTCCTTTTGTAAGTTCTTGTGTTTATTCAGCAAGTTTCATGCTGATGAAGAAAACTGAGAAGCTAAAGATGACAAAGGTGTGTCTGTTTTGAGGTAAAGAGGTATTGTCTTATTCTTCCAGATAGATGAAGAGCTCCATGTCATCTTCATGTAACAAATGACACTTTGTTACACTGAATTTCAGAAGTATCCTAATGGACGGTTGCATCAGTTGTTTACCACCAAATTTCCGTCAGGAGCCAATGGCGAGTTGCATCATTGCCAATCGCTGTTAATGATGAAGACTTGCCACTACATGTTTTCTGAACAAATCCCACCATCCAGACTCATTCTTCACAAAGCCAGTAAATATGTGAAGATGTTAGCATGTTATGTGTTTTATAATCTCAATAATATGCAAATGTTTATTCTCTAAGAGAACCGTTCAGACCTCACATTTCCATATTGGCCTTTAGTCTCCAGAACGCTTGGCTCTGATTGGCTCCTGGAGCTCCCGGCGGTGTTGAATCATGGGAGTGAAAGTGTTGTCTGTGATTTCAGTTTAAAGTGAGCTGTGGGTCCCACCACAGACTTCATATGAGCTCTTGCAGCTGAAGAGCATCTTTGAGACCACAGGAACTCATGAAAGGTAAGAGATGCTGCTTTTAATAACTGCTGACAGGACTGTCTGTGTTTAGCTTTAATGACGGAATAAATGACACAACAGACACATTAAGAGTTCAGCTGTGCAGAAACTATAGACAAACTTTAATTAATGAAACTGTATTGTTCTGTAGAGCTGCTTTACAGTTAATTTTGAAGCTGTAATGATATTTAAAATGACAGATTCCTGAAACTGAAGAAATTTGTGACACTGATGCTGTTTATTTCTGTGCAGCTGCTTTTAGACAATCTGTAATGTATGAAGTGCTATAAACGTGCCTCGACAAATATATACTGTATTTCACTGTATGTATATGTAATCAACATATACAGTATGCAATTTATAGTCGCATAAGAATGTGTTTTATATAGTTTTTCGTGCATTATAATTATTATAATGTTTTAAGTTTCTCACTGAATAGATGCTTGTTTTCATATTTCAAACAAATATATTTTTCTGAAATCAGTGTCATGAAAAACACCGGTGAATTTTTGTATCATGCCCTGCTGTAATGAATGAACCGTAACAATTATGTTTTTCCTAGTCAAGACTAAAGTTTGACTGAGGAATATACATTTTTTAAATGAGTGTAAAAAAAATGAATATTCTTCAAAAGAAGAAATTCAGAAAGCCTGCTATTGCATTATGAAAGTGTATGACGTGATGTCCATGTAGATGAATTTGAGCTTCAGTTATTAAATCCCAGCCATACTGAACAGACTTCAATCAGTAGAAGCGGTGAAATCTCCTGATGATGGTTATCTTCAGGACAGTGATGTGATTCTGAATGAAGCACAAAGCAAGAGTTAGGTTGCATTTGATACCTGTTTGTGTGTTTCAGCTGTTGAGAGGACGATGGCAATCCTGCAGCTCTTCAGACTCATCAACTCGTCTCTGCTCCTCAGCCAGCGGCCTCTGAACGCCTCGGCCGAGCAGACGGTGTACAGCAGCTGTGCAGACATGCCCGCTGTGCTCATCTTCTACCTGGTGCTGCAGCTCATCAACATGTTCCTGGGCATCCCGGCCAACATCATGGTCCTGTGGCTCATTCGTAAGAACAAGGGCGACTCGTCCACCTCAGACATCTTCATCGTCAACCTGGCCGTGCTGGATGCGTTCTTCTGCCTCATTCCTCCGCTGGAGCTGGCCAACATCGTCTACCTGAGCACCAGCAGCACCTGGTACGTCCTGCGCTTCTTCTACGGCGTCAAAGACTCGTCGCCTCTCTTTCTGTCCTGCATCTGTCTGGACAGATATATGGCCGTGCGGCATCCCATCACCTTCACTGAGCTCAAGGACAAGCGACATCGCTCCGTCTGCGCCGCCGGCGTCTGGCTCCTCACTTTGGTCTACGCCACAGCCAAGTGTGTGGGAAACATCCCCAACTTCGACAAGGTGTTCACCGTCATGATCCTGGCGGCATTCGCGTTCATGCTCTTCTGTAACGTCTCCATTCTCTGGGCTCTGAGACAGTCAGCTCCAGGTCGAGACGAGAGACACCCGGTCAAGAAGAAGGCCTTCAAGATGGTCCTCATCATCTTGGCCATCATTGTGTTTAACTACTTCCCGCCGGTGGCTCTCTTTCCCTTTCGAGAGTATTTCTCTCCAGATGTTTTCCGCTGTTGTATCCACTACATCGCCTTTGGCTTCATGGACATCAGTAGCAGCATCCAGCCGGTTCTATATCTGTCACGGGAGAAGCTACCCAAAACCCTGCACTGCTGCTTGAAAAACACTGAACAAAGCGCTGATCCCGTTTACACCGTCAGTCGGTGAGGATTTCACTTGATTGTTGCTGAGCAGCTGCATGCACCCAATAATGTAGGTTTGTCCACATCTATAAACAATTTTAAAGCTGGTGTTACGAACTATACTTTGTCATTAGCCTGGGCTAGATTGTATGTATTTTAATTGATCCATTTTTGGGTTATCTTGGTTTAAGTTTTTATGTATTTGTATGTTGATAGTACAGCACTTTGGTCTGCATGTGCAGTTGTAAAGGGCTTTATAAATAAATAAATAAATGCTTTTCCTAAACCATGTGTAATGTAACTATATTAGAACTCTTAGACTCATTCTGACAGGTATCTGCAGCTGTATTATGTTTAAGCAGAAGCACCAACCTGCTGACAACTGCATATTTTGTGCACATAAATTGTTGTTAATTACTATATTACATATTTACTTGTAGTGGATTTTAGTTTTTCACTTAATTAAGTGCATTTGTTTTCTGTAAATTCTGAATTATCCTGCAGTTTATTCAAGACAGCTGTCACATAGACTGTATGAAACAAGTTGACTAGAGAACATCAAACTAGAGAGAGAGCATTTGAACAATTTTTAAGAATTAACTTTTTTTTCTGTGATACAATAAAATGTGCTTATAAGTAGAAGTCCCGTTATTAGCATTAATTATTTATTCTGTTAATTATGCAATGATCCGGTCACATGTTCAGCGAAGAACGCTTTGTCATACAGTCACTAATGCACACCTGTGGCCCGTCTCACAGCTGCCTGAACTAGTCTTAGTCATCTAACAGGTTAGTCTAACTTTGTAAGTGGATTAACATAGTGGCTGTTTTTGAGTCCTGAAGTGATCTGGAGTCACTGCCATTACACGAGTGAACACTAGAGTGTGCTGCATGACCACCAGAATCCACACGAGTGGCTTATGTAAAGCATTTTAAATATAGTATGAAAAATCTATTTTAGAAAAGAAACAGTTTGACACTTTAGACCAGAGGGGCCAGTTGTTAAAAAATTTGAATCTGTATCAATATGATCTGGATTTGGACATCCCATGTTTTGCTATCCAGGCAAATTGCATTTACACAAATAACTACTCCTGACTGGTCCATGTCTGATGATTGTGCCAGTGTTGTTTACAATCAGTGATAAAAAAAAAACACTTTAAATTATATATATATATATATATATATATACATATTTACAGCTGTTTGGGGATATATTACATGTTTCAAATGTTGTATTTTTTGGACCAGTTTTAAAGTCTTATAAAAAATTTTTTCCTGAAATCCACCCTTCTGCTGGGATCAGAATAATCCCCTTTTTTGGTTCAAAAGTATCCTTACTTTTGAACCAAATCTTACTAAAACGCTTTGAACAACATAAATGGAGGATTTAAGCCAGATCAAAATCAAGGTTGGATTTTGTGATCTAATCTGAATTCAGAATCCTTTGTTTCTTTTCAACAACCCATTTTCAAGATTTTATCCAATGTGATGGCCAAAATCCGATCCGATTACTTTTGAACAACTGGCCCCTGCAGAGTTTAGATTCAACACTAATTAAACACACCTCATACAGCTAATCAAGTCCTTCAGGCTTATTTGAAAACTACATGGTTTATGTGTCAGAGGAACTGAGTTTGACACTCCTGCTTTAAGCCCGGGATACACTGCACGATTTTTGGCTGTCCCAGATGAAAGATTGCCATCGTGAAGCAATCGTGGCGATTTCTGTGATCGTGGCTCTTAATCGGTGGTCATATGTCATACAGTGAGAGAGGTTCAAAGATGGGCGTTTTCTCGGTCTTGTGACCAAAGAAAGCCTACAATAGTTTTCTGACAGTGTCAGAAATTCAGTATGATTTATGATTTATGATTTCAGTACGCACAGTGTGTTTGCTGCAATGACCTGCATCTACTCAGCAGCTAATGAAATTGCAACATGAAATGACATATTGATCCACGCGACCAGCGGCGCTAAAATTTCAATGCCATGGAGGCAAAAAAAAGTAGAAGGTATACTGGTATGTGGGATACCCATAAAGAACAAATTCTTGTTGAGATGTGGCAGCAGAGGGCACTTTGTGTGTGTGTGTGTGTGTGTGTGTGTATTATATATATATATATATATATATATATATACACCTTGCTACATATACTGCATTAGGCTAACCGAGACTTGTCATTTGCACTTATATATTGTTGCTCTTTTGTTAGTTTTGACTGCTTTAATTGTCCTCATTTGTAAGTCTCTTTGGATAAAAGCATCTGCTAAATGACTAATGTTATGTTAATGTAGAGGGCATGTTTGTACGATGTGTCCTCTAGCTGCTATCATGACCGCACCAAAAAGGACATAGCATTGAAGGAGATAACGGAGGAACTGCAGTTGCCAAGCTCCCTGTGCAAAACTGGCATCACAAGTTGTCCTCTTTTCCTGAGCCATGAGCGGGTCCATATTGCCCTTTTCCGCCGGCGCCTCTTCTTTGTTTCAGCGCACATGAAAAGCACAACTGCCAAAGCGCGATCCATCTTGATGTACTGGTATTTGTTTACCACTAGCGCATGCTGATGACGTTGCGTTAACGTGTGTCGGCAGCCGTCGCAGCCTACGATACAATAGGTGTCATCATCGTACAGTCTACACGTCGTACCCAAGTTTAAATGATCCATGTCGCACAGTGTGATAAAGTAATGATCTTATAGGATTGCTAAAATCGTGCAGTGTATCCAGGGCTTTAGACAAAACTCTCCTTTGTTTATTTAAAGATCATCAAATAATATAACAAATTGACTTGTAAAATCTGATATTTTACTGACAAGACTAAAAGTTCATAAAAGGTTGTTTCCCTTATATGAACTGTGCTGTTTGCTCATCAATAATTAAAACCAATCAATTCAGTGACATAAATTTTGAAATAATGTTCTTTATTAAATCACTATTTACCTGTTCCACATCTAATGTGATTTATATGTTAAAATGTCTGTGTCCATTTATTTACATCGGAAAAACCAGTCTCCAGCTAAATATTCACATTAGTGAACATAAATCTGCTATCAGGAAACGTGATGTGAATTCACCAATAGCAAGACATTTTCATGACTGTAATCATGACATTAAGGATTAAAGTTGTATAGGTATCGAAAAAGTAACAGAGGAAAAACTTTTACAACAAGAATCTTATTGGATGTATCGATTAAAAAGTTTGTCTCCCTTGGGTTTAGATCTTTTTTGTTTTCTTTAAGTATAATAAAGTTGTTAAACACATTGTTTAGTTATAATGTGCTATAGGATACAGACTAATGAATGGCTTCTGGTCTGATGCATCAGCTCGTTCCCCACTTTCATTCATTTTTGATGGATTATTTGTAATGTATGTTTTATTTTATTTTTTGGTGCTTGTTGTAATGAGGATTCAGTGACGTTGGGATCCATGTGCAGCTTTATTAACAATAGACAGGCAGAGTTCAGTCAACAGCAAACAGGGGTAGAGTAGGCAAGGCAGAATCGTAACCAGAGTCCATGCAAAGGGGTCGAGGCTGGCGGCAGACAGAGGAGAGAGTAATTCCAAACACAGAGCAAGATCAAAGAGGCGGGCAGCGAACAATCAGACAGGTCTAAACAATCCAGGTAGGCAACAGGTAATCAAACAAGGTATAAACGCTCGGAAATGTCAGCAGTAGCAAAACAAGACTTCGCAACGAGGGTAAGGCAGACACTGCTTATATAGTCATGGTAATGATCAGCACCTGTGCAAGTAATCAAAGTCAGGCATGGGATGATGGGAAATGAAGTCCTAAGGAACAGTTAGTACTCCGGTGAGGGTTCCCTCTGGTGGGGATCGGAGGGAGCCACGGAGGCTTGATTTGTGACACTTGTATTGTTATTTTAATGCATTGAGTGTTCTGGAATTATTTTTGGTTCTTTGTCCTGAAATTGCTCGATTGTTCAATTGAGTTTGTGATCAGTAACACCTGTTATGTGGCTTTCTACCAGGTGATTATTGGACTTCACTTGGTTTTTTTTTTATTCTTGTGAAATGTCAGTATATGATTCACTGAAGAAGGCTTGCTGCCGAAACATCTGACTGTTGATTGCTCAGTTGCTAAATTAAAATAAATTAAAATGTATTAAGAAGATAGAGCGAGTGCGGATCCCTTACTTGAAAGTGGTGTTAATGATTGATCTACGCACCCAAAACTGAAGTTGAGCACAGTGATTTTAATTTTTTCGTTAGACAAAACTTAAAATTTTTTTGTTTTTTTTTGAGCATCACATAAATAAGGTTTTTATGGCACATATAGTCTGACAAAGTAAGAATATGGAGGAAAAACAGCTACATTTTATTCCGAGACTCAAACTGAACAAAAATGAGATCTTTATAAAAGAACAGCAGATACTGACATAAAATGATGAAGATCATAGTGGAGCAAATGATCATAAAGTGGAGATCATTCCTCCGCTTAGGAACAGTGAAAGTAAAGCTTCTGGAAACAAACGCTCCTCAAAAGATCCTGAGGATCAGATTTGAGACTCTAAAACATGATTGATGGAGAATCAAGTAAAGCTGAGCTGCTTCAGTGCAGTAAGTGTTCATCTGGAGATATTACTGCAGTTATTCTGATGTTTACTTGATCAAAATCAGTCAAGATTTGACAGCAGAAAGACACGTGAAGCTCGAGCTGAAGCTGGACACTTGTACAATTACACTAAAAGAGCTTTGACTGGAAAACACTCTAAACTATCAATCAGACGACAGAAGACATGAGGAGATTGAGTGAGACAGCAAAGTTTGATCATTCCTTATACACTCATGCTCAAATATGATACAGCAGCTTTTATGGGGTTAATATGACTGAGCTTAATGAACAGTGACAGATCTTACAGTCTTCAGTAATGATCACTGGAGCTCAAACTAATAAATATATAAGTTTCAAACACACTTACCAACTTAAAAAGCTTTGAATTAACATTCAAGAGGAGTTGAATTTATTAACATTAAATTCCCAATACAATAGAGAAGATCC